ATTCAAAGAGATAGGAGTTGCACTTGCATGCCCGAGAGGCGTTTCAAAGATGGCCGCCGAGTGACATGACTTGTCTTAAAAGGACTTTGCTTGTATTCAGTACTCGACTGCCCATGTTTTCCATACCTGTCTCGTCTTTGCTGAGGTCTCTATAAATGGGATGCCGTAGCTACGTGCTAAATCCTGAGCCTGCTTGGTGTCCACACTGCGGGATGGAAGATCACACTTATTCCCCACCAGGACCATGGGGACATCCTCAGAGTCCTTTACTCGTTTTATCTGCTCTCTGCCAAAGCACACAGAACATTGCACGTCAAAAATGAATTTGACTTTGTGAGGTGTTTTAACCCTTTACAAACCTGATTCTGCAGGTCATGTGACTGCACACCGTTCGGTTTCTATCAAACCCTCACCTGTAGTGGTGAATGTCCTCAAAGGACTTGGTGTTATTGATGGCGAAGACACAGAGGAAGCCCTCTCCTGTCCTCATGTACTGATCCCTCATGGCGCTGTACTCCTCCTGACCTGCAGTGTCCAAGATGTCCAGCAGACACGTCTCCCCGTCAATCACCACCTGCTTTCTGTAGGAGTCCTGCACAAGTGAAATGATCTTTTGAGCATGTTGAGCAGTATAACAATCCCAAACTATACTGGTTCTGTAATATCAATGCATGACAATAATATCAAACCTAAAATCTCAAAAATTATATTAAAACCTGACATTTGTAAAATGACAAATGGTACTTGTAGGCAAAAATTGTGTTTGAGTTTTAAAGTGCTCATCTAGGTGTAGATTAAGTCTAGCAAAATGGGTGTACAGGTCAACATGAAATTAAAATGAGAAAGATTTTCTTCAGCATTTTCAATGCATGTTCTAGGACTTAATTCATCAGCGCACATTATTTAATCTTGCGTCAAAACTACAAAACAAACATCTAAAGAACAACTATAAAACACCTAAACTACAAAATCATCCCAAAAACATCTACAAAACAAACATATAAAGAACAACTATAACACATCTAAAAACTACAAACTCATCCCAAAACATCTACAAAACAAACATTAAAAAAACAAACATATAAAGAACAACTATAAAATATCTAAAAACTACAAAATCATCCCAAAACATCTACAAAACAAACATTAAAAAAACAAACATATAAAGAACAACTATAAAACATCTAAAAACTACAAACTCATCCCAAAACATCTACAAAACAAACCTTAAAAAAAAATACAAAACTGCAAACAAGCATAAAAAAAAAACAAATATCTAAAATACAAAACAGAACTACAACACATCTAAAAAGCATCTAAAAAACAATTACAAAACTACAGACCAAACAACTACACTTTTTAGCCAATCAACCAATCCCAAGGTAAAAAGACAGTTCTGTCCTTTATTTTTTCACTCTGAAATGTCACATTACATAAATAAAATAGGTTGTGAATGCTGTTTGATGTTGACTTTAAAGATAACCTAAGGTTTTTCTTAGTTAATTTATTTTAAACAAGAAAAGCACAAAAAAAAAAAAAAGCGAACAAACACACAAAACTTATTAGGAATTATGTAAATTTGTAATCTAAACATAGAAAGGTGACAAGCCAGAAAAGTGAAAGGTAAGAGACACAGTGGCCTTCAATCTGGAATCCACCTTCTTTCAAACCAGAATAACCGGATCGCACTGTTGAATCTTTAACAGTACATTTTTTGCATAATCACATGTGGGTGAGTTTCACAGCTTTGTGTGGCAGTAGAAAGCGAGTGTCCTCACAGCGCTAGAGACAGAGGTACACATGCCTCACCTCTATGGTTGGGTCGTATTCATCCACAAAGTGGTTCTGGATGAGTTGGATGGTGAGAGCGCTCTTGCCCACGCCTCCAGCCCCCACGACCACAAGCTTATATTCCGTCATTCTTCACCTGCAGCAGAAAAAAAAAAAAAAAAAGATGAAAATCAATGAGCAGTTAAAGACTTTTGCAGCTCCAGCTTTAATGTACTTACCGGACTTTAAATAAGTGTCAATTAACTGATGCTATTATCCAAAGCACCTTCACTAATTTCAGGTTCAGTCTGCTGGAGTAACCTAGGGTTAGACTTCTTGCTCAGGGGCACAACAGTGATAGTACAATAATAAAGCCTTTTTACGGTTTGAACTTGCAACCATTACACCACCACAGCATCCTACAATCAGGCAAGACTGTAAAAGTTTGTCACATTGACATTTACTTAAAATGCCAGGTTTAATGGACTGACCCAACAACAGCATTTAAACACCACTATTAAAACATTAGTAGTAGTACCTTTATTATCCCCTTGGTGAAATTCTGTTTCAGTGGGTTTCAACATGCGTTTCACATAGAAAACAATACCACATAGCAACAAGAACACAAATATGAAGGGGAGAAAATTTAATTATTAATTTCTAGAAATAAATAATCAATATGGAACTGAATCAACAGATCCACAAAAGGAATACTACAGTTCTCTATGGTTTGAAATTATATAGTTATAATAGTAATATATATATATATATATATAAATAAAATTGTTGACACCTACATCATTAATCATCTTTACAATAGAATAGATTTTCTTCGATCACTTTATTACTACAACTAAATAAATCAGTTAAATAAACTGATTCAACGCATAACAAATGATAGAATAACATGATTTGACATGTTATGAAGTTACGTATTATCTTACATGCTGCTACTCTATAACTTTACCATGAGTATAATCATTACTTCTCACTTTTCGTTACAACAACTTAACCAAACCGATTAATCTACAGTAAACAGAATCAATTCAACAGGTGATACACTAAGAGAAAATACTTATTTAACAATTTTAAGTTACATATTTATAGGCTAGTCCTGTGTAAGACCTTTTTACTATGACTTTTCTTTATTAGAATTTAAAATCGACTAACTAAAAGACTCACAGACTGCAACATAATACTACGATTTGAAATCATTTGACATGTTTTTACTGAAAACCAACCTTAAAAGTATTCCATGTATCTTTTTGAGGATATATGATTTATGTTATGTGTAATAAAGTGTGAATTAGATTTTAACTCAAGTTAAAATAAAAGTTAATCGTTAATAAGTATAGTTAAGCGCCATTGTATCGCAGGGCCCGGATTTAACTTGGGCGTGCGATGACAATAATACACTGGAACAAAATATACACACACAAAAGCTCACATTTAACCAATTCTTAGCTTTACCTGCACATGATTGCTCGTGACTGTTAATACACACGTTAAAATAGCTTTTCTATTATTTTTACCTCTGGGTTTGTTGTAAGTTCCGCGTCTGAAAAGCCTCTAATGACTCGAGCGTTTATATCATGACCTTGCCATAAAGTTATTATTCATTTAAACAGCGTGTATAAAGCCGCATATACCCGTTGACATTCCCGTCAAAGGGTTTAAAGTTGTTGTTTTTTTCAAACTAGAAAAAAATAAAAATAGAACTGAATTCTATTCTTTCTAGGCTAACGTTACATGGCCTGCGCTCGGAGGCTGTGCTTCACATAGATATGGGCGGACACACTGTTTGCGTCCACCTAAAACCTCTGGGTTTGTTGTAAGTTCCGCGTCTGAAAAGCCACTAATGACTCGAGCGTTTATATCATGACCTTGCCATAATGTTATTATCCATTTAAACAGCGTGTATAAAGCCGCATATACCCGTTGACATTCCCGTCAAAGGGTTTAAAGTTGTTGTTTTTTTCAAACTAGAAAAAAATAAAAATAGAACTGAATTCTATTCTTTCTAGGCTAACGTTACATGGCCTGCGCTCGGAGGCTGTGCTTCACATAGATATGGGCGGACACACTGTTTGCGTCCACCTAAATGATCACTTACCCCAAAATATCAACGATTTTCAGCTGTTTACGATTATTTTCAGTAGGTGGAGGAGGTTAAAAGGACGAGTAATACGCAGTCGAGCAGCCCCTTCCGAGCATCAGCATGCATCTTGCATTATAATAGACGAAACATCTGTAGATACAAATAATCCTGATCGGTGTCCTTTCAATGAGCTGTGTAGGGCGGAGGGCTTGATCGATAACTGACCGATTAACAACACCGCTAATTCAAGGCTAAATATGGTTATACGACGGATAACAAATGCACTTTAGTTTACAGTGTAATAGCACACGAGAATGTGCTAAGACATATTCGATACTGGGTAAAGACCGGCTTTTGACAAGCGCTGAGGGCAGTATTGATGTACACTGACTTGCTCCTTATATAGGCCCTAAATATAACCGGAACGTGTACGTGCGTACGTCATCGCTTATGTGGAATCTTATTGGATGTTTCACCTGTCAGTCAGAATTCATGTTTTTGCATTCGGTGCGCAAGGAGCCAATCGTCTACGTTTATTGACTGAATAATACCAATTACTCGGCCTAGATGTTTATTGTTTGACTTGATGCTTTACTTTATACGTTTTTTTCTTTGCAATTTAATGTAAATATAGTTAACAGATACACATAATTGTGAAACAAAGCATACAAAGTAAAGAATATGGGGGAAATAAAAAATTGCTTTTTTGTCTCTATGTAATGCTTTATTTCTTTCATAAAAAATGTCAAGAGCGAAAATATTGGTATATTTGCATTTCTGTATTTACAGTTTGTGGAGATGTTTTAGTTTACAATATTACATTTGTCATAATTGAAATTATCATTTATATAGTAACCAAAAATAATATGACTAACAGGCAAAGAAAGTTCACGAAAAGATTATGAACATTAATATCAGGGATGGATTCGTTTTATAAAACGTAGCTAGAATTCCAGAAATATTTTACTTAGAAAAAGCCTAATTGATTGCATAAATTATGCTTGGAATTCTCTCTACACAAACCTTGCGATACGTTTTAATTTTGAATTCACTTTTAATCATTATTCATATATTTTTATTATAATGTAAGTAACTGCAAAGTAATTATACAAATACAAAATATTTTGCAACACCAAGAGTGTTGAAAAAAAGACAAAGAAGTTAAATTTTGAAGTAGAACAACCAAAATATTTTACTTTGTTTTGTTCACAACTTTTAATTAATTAAAAATTTATATATATATATATATATATATATATATACATACATAAACATATGTTAAATACTAATTATGAACTTTGAATAAATAATTTCCATTTTAATTTTATAAGACGCAATAAAAAACGCTAAAGACACAAGAGGTCAGTATTTCCACGGTTTTGTAACTCGAGTTTAATTTCAATAATGGCGTCAGACTGTTTTTGCTGTATTCAGATGTTTTGTCTTTTGATATTTATTTTTTTTATTTAATGCTTATTAAAGTTTATAAGCATTACTCTGTTGTAAATTATTATTCAAACCACTTAGGAGACTCACGTGTTGCGTGTTACTTTTCTCAGCGCTGGCAGGGTGACCAAATCAAAACCGTTTGTTATTGAATAATACTTTTTAAATAGAGACTGCTGGGGCCATTTTTTTATTTAATGATTAATCATTTAAATTATTTAATTGACACCTCTTAATGTGCAAATATATCCAATTAAACAAAAAAAGGTCCAGATTAATGCAGCTCAATGGAGGCTTTGGTTTTCTGAGCCGTCAAGCGACCTCTTGAGGAAGAGAACTGTATTCACACAAGTCCCGCCTCCCGCGACGAGATGGGCCAATAGGAGCCTCTAAAAGCGGTCCCTGATTGGACAGTTTAGAGATTGAGGGCGGGACTTGACAGAATGCGGCGAGTAGATGAGACGGTGGTGTTTTCCACATTCTAGCTCGGATGGACTGACTGCAGCACAGCGTGAAAACTTTTTCCTGTGGGGCGGTGATACTTACGGATGAAATCCGCTAATTTTCTCAGACTTTTGCGCTGTAAAAAATACAAAATATAACAGCAGTTCGTTTATATTTAGCAAACTAATCTGTATAGTAAGGATTAATACAGAAAAAAAAAACTAAATATTACAGTGTCCTTATAATTTATTGTAACGTTACAAACTTTGGTCATTGTAACATCGACTCGGACAAAAAGTGGATAAATGTTGTCCTACATTTAGTCATAAAGGTAAGAATGTACAGATTTTTCATGCGGAAAACGTAATTCTTAATAACTGTAACTTAAAAACAGCAGTTAACATTATATGTCAATACGCATTCAGCATGACAATCTGAAATATTTAGTTGCATGATTTAACTTTTAAGTCTTAATTTCAGATCTAACGTTTTAACTGAATAACAACATCAAGATGACGGTGTCGTGTATGGTAAACGTTTTGTTATTTAACTTTCAAAAACAATATTAAAACAGCATGTTTTTAGTATTCTGTATGCAGACCATCATATCAATTGACATCAACACAAAATGTGAGTTTCTTAATCAAATCCAAAGCAAAATATGAGATTTGCGTTTAATACTGTGGGAAAACGCAGTACAAATGATTAAGTCACTACTTTTTTGTCCTCTAAATGTGGATGCAATTAATTGTTAACCAGTATATTTGTATAGAGATGGTAGATTTGGGTTATTTTATTTGTTAAAGTCTCTCAACTTTTATTATTTTCAGATTTGTTCAATGTTATTTTTATTCAATTATTGATATTTGAAGGATCAGTCAGCTTAAAAAACATCAGTATGCGTTAGTTTGACTATTTCAACGTTTATTTGATGCAGTATACAGTTACTACTAAACCCAGTTATTATCTAGGCTAGTTATTGAAACATATTTAATGCACTTTTAAATTGAATGATTAATTAGTAAGGGAAGTACGATCCATGTTATCATGCAATGCAATAGAAAAATGACTGGCCTTGGTGGTTCTAACAGAGACATTATGGAGATTTATAAAATAATTTGGTTATTTTCCTTTTATCATATCTTATATCATGTAGGCTATTTACTGCAAAATACTCATTTAATCCCAAAAAGTGTCTTTAGTGCATTTTTGTATTGCCACAAAAGTATGCAGATGCTTTACAGTGGGAATGCGCAACTACTTAATTGAAAGTGGTAAGATGAGAGATTATTAATAAACTACTTAGTCACGTTGACACTTTATCCAGTACCCTCGTAACTCAGTTTTTGGCTGGTCCTTCAAAGCTAGCCTGCTGATCACAACCATGGCAAAAGAACAAAGGCAGTATTATATCCAGCGAAACGTGCCATCCAGATGTTAGCGATTCTGCCTGTCTAAGGCCTAGCTGTGGGTATGGAGCTGGGTTTTAAGAGGTCGACGTTTATTCTGAAGTTTATTAAAGCACCTCAGCTGAGACTTGGGTCTCAACAAACTCTTGAGATTTACAAGAGCGAAGGCGGCTCTTGCTGGTCCGTTGTTAAATACCACTGTTCTTGCCATCTAAAATCCTTAGAGAAGGACTTTGTTTAAAAGCTGGCATGGTTTTATTCCCTTCGTAGTTTTGAGGAAAGCGTTGTTTTCCTGTTACCTTCCATGAAAGCTCCTCATTGTTTTTTACTCTTACTGGCTAAATGTGCCAAACTACGTGGAAGAATCAAGCGTAGCAAAGTACATTGCAGGACACCCAGGGGGTTTAGGAGCAAGATTTGGAGATTTCACTGTGAATTCACTCACTTTCTTCCAAAACCTCAGGTTATTGTTTTACTGGGGTGGGGAAAGAAGGCTTGTTTTCCTTCCTCCGTCGTACCAGATGGGATATTTGGTGAGGACACAGTTCTCCTCTGTGTTTGGCAGATGGGAGGTCTTTCGTGGCTCAGTTTGATTGTGTAGTGGCGTTGTTTATTTACTTTGCGTTTGATTTGCACCTTAATTTTCTTAAAAAAACTCATGGACGATGACTACAAATGCAAGTTTTTTATTAGAGAATGCGAGATGGAGGCTAGAAACATCTTATCTCCTTCAGCATTCAGTGCCCAGCTGCGTGGAATGTGTAACCTCAATGTTATCAGTTTCCATGGTGTAAAATCAAGGCCCAAGTCTTCGGATAACCACCTGCACCTTCGGATAACAAGCCTCAACAATGCATTAGTCACTAGCTAATCTTTTCAGTAACTTCACTATACAGTGAAGGGATAGTTCATCCAAAAACAAAACTTTTGTCATCTTTTACTCACCCTCATATCATAATCAAACCTGTACGACTTTCATTTGTTTGTGGAACATAAAAGAAGATATTTTAAAGAATGTTTCAGCTGTTTTTGTCCATATTATGAAAGTCAATGGGATCAAAAGATAGCATGAAATTAATCCAGATGACTATTTTGTAAGTGTTCAAAGTTCATAGCTTTTATTGTCATATGCACATTCCATGCACAATGAAATTCTTACTTTCCACTCTGATTGCTGCTAATAGAAAAACAAGAAGAAATTATTGATAAATGTCTTTTTAGTCTTTTAAACTAAAGTTGCTGCTATCTCACAACCCTCTCACAGAAGTGCTTGTCAATGCGGCAGTCTTTTTTTGTTGCAGTCTCCGCTATTTTGTTGTTGTTGTTGTTCTGTCACTTTAGTTTCATTTTCTACTGCGAAACAGCGGTCCGGGCCAGTGCTGCCACCTTGTGGAACAATTGATTAGTGCAAAACCAAGTCAATGCGCATGTGCGATCTGCATGTACAAAGTAGGAGCGATTACACAAATTGGGTGGTGCACGCACAATAATTGCGTACTATTCTGGTGACGAAATTTGCGTCACACGCACTGTACGCTGACCCTCGCATATGTGTAAAAAACGAAGTATACTTTGCACTTAAGGCTTTAATAACTCTTGAATCAAAACATTGATCAACCTCATACCTCAGCCTCCCATTTGGTCATGTGAGGTGAGGTTTGACAATACATTTCAATCTGTTCATTGTACAAAGTAATTGTGTTACTATCAATCTGGATTAATATCACGCATTTTTATGCCCTTCATGGCCCTCGAAAATTGTGGGTCCCATTTACTTTCATAAAATGTACAAATACAGATTAAACATCTATCTATCTATCTATCTATCTATCTATATGTTTCTTGGAGTGTTTTTACTCTTGGAGCGGTTTCAGCCGAGGCCTGCAACTAATTATGGGAGAGTGCATAAATTGCTAGTAATTACATGTAGCATGGCAGCTAGCGCAAGCACAAGCAGAATAAAAGGTTAATCCAAAATAGCTCAGCAATAATAACGGCACACCATCGTTAATCAGGAAATTAGCTAATTCTGTCTGATTTTGGATGGACCTCGAATCTTGTATCATTTGTTTTTAATTTGATCCTATCCTTACAGACTTTAAGGTTTAG